ATGCCAAGCGCTAGCCAAACGTGAACTTTTCCGCATAATCGTAGGCAGGCAGGCCGAACAGCTCCGGCTGGAAGTCTGCCATGGACTTGAGCACCAGCGTGGCGCCGATGGTCTGCTCGAGGGGCAGGCGTTCGTCGGGTATCATTACCACTTGCATGCCCGCCGCGACGCCCGCATCCTTGCCCTGCGCCGAGTCCTCGAACACCAGACAGCACTCGGGCGGTGGTGCTGGCTTGAAGCGTGACGCCGCCAGCAGAAAGATGTCCGGATGCGGTTTACTCTCCTTCAGCTCGGGATCATCGCCGCAGACGATGTGATGGAAGACGGGCATCAGGTCGCAGTGCGGCCGTGCCTTCAGGCAGAAGGTGTCTCGATAGCCCGACGTTGCCATGGCCATGGGCACGCGGTACTCGAACAGATGCAGCAGCAGATCTTTGGCGCCCGGCTTTAGCTTCACATCCGAAATCAGGCAATGCAGCTCGGCACGAAATCTAGCCAGATACTGCTCTGGCGAAATTGGCAAATTGTACTCCTTTACCATCAATACACTGGCCACCATGGCTGCGAGGCCCGTCATACGCATTTTCATCTCATACGTATAGGTCTTGCCGTAGGGCGTCAGCACGTTCTGTATTGCGGTCGTATAGATGCTTTCCGTATCTGAAAGGGAGGCAGGCGGAGGTCATGGAGATGAGGCACGGGCAGCTGAGCAGTTGACCTACCCATGACTGTGCCATCGTTGTCGAATATGCAATGCGTCACGCGCCTGAAACATGGCTGCTCGGTCGCCGACATTTGGCACTTCTTCTGCTCGTTACGCGCTGACTTGGCCTAAAACATATTCCAAAAAAAAAAAAAAAAAATTACATTAAATTTTTCACTATTTTTTTTGTGTTTATTTTCTGACTGTTTTTTTTTAGAGTGACATATTTTGTCTGTTAGAAAAACTACATTGTTTTTGTTTCCTCTCTGTGATTATTTTTGCCTCTCAATTTTTTTTTTTGTACACTTCTTTATTATTTATAAAAAATAATTAAATTAAATTAAATTTTTTTTAAATTTAGTGAATAATATAAAAAATAAAATACTAATATTTAAAAAATTGTAAATATTATTTAATAGTATATTATAAATAATGAAAAAAAATTATTTAATTAATATACAACATTTTTCTGTAATTTATTTACGTTGAGTGCATTCAAATTAAATTACAATAATTATACGTATTTGAAAAAAATCTAGGATAAATTTTGGTGCATTTAAATTAAGTAATTTATTATTATTTTTAGTAAATTAAATTGAAATAATATTGATAATTTTTAGTAATAATATACAAGATAATTTAAGTTTATTTAAGATGATTTTTAGTGAATTTAATAATGTGGAAAAATATGTTTGCCTATTTTTATTTTTATTTCTAAATAATATTTATTATACTTAGATATTTTATAAAATATTCAAGATAATTTTTTTTTACATTAAAATCAAATAATGCTTATATTAAATATAATTCTTGTGTAAATGTAAGTTAAATATTTTCACAAATATTGGAATGGAGATTAATAGAAATTCAAATTTGAATAACCTCAAATTCTTCATCTTATATGTGTTAAAATAGTTTCCATAGTATAAAATAGGTAAATCCCAACTCATATTATAATGCACTTAACAGTGTTATGTGGCAATGGAAGTCGTTTGCCCTCTTGGCAGCTGCTGCTGAAAGATCACGTTAATTTCATTAGGCGCCGTAAGTTGGAAATGTTGAAAAGAAAATGCTCCACATGCATTTTAATTAAACTATTTGCGACTTGCAACTTCAAATAGTTTGCCAAGTTGCAAGTTGCTGGCGCAGCTGTGGCAAGTGGAAGGTGCTCGCTGGTGCAGCTGTCGATTCGGCTGCCTTTTTATGCCCAGCGCCAGTCTTAGTCTTAGCCTTAGCCTAAGCTGTGGGCGGCTCTGGCCCCGTCGAGCGTCGAGTGTGGGCGCGTTCAGTTCGGCTGTCAGCTGCAGCCTGTCGCATGTTGTTGCAAAGTTGCGTAATTGATTAAGCAGTTGGCAGGCGTGCGCCACCAGGCGCTGTGGCAGCGACAAACTTCGTCATAGACAGCACGTGCCGCACGTTGAAAGCCCTACTTGACTCCGTCGAGCAGCACGAGCCGCGCGACATGTGGCAGCAACGTGGCTCCCAATTCCCAAAACTGCCAACTTCCCAATGCAAACTCAACTTTTATTAGTTGTATCGATGCGACGAGTATATATGCATATGTATGTATCTGTGCGGGATTGAAATCAATATATGTATACATAAATATTGTTTATACATTATAAAAATATTTTCGATTGAGCCTACAGTAAGTACTCTAATTACTCAAATACTGAAAGACAACTTCAATGTGCTCTAATTTCAGCTGCAAGCTCAAGTTATAAATTTTTGCTGCCAGCCAACTTCAATGTAATCTGGTGTTTGAAAATAATTATTTTATTATGTCTACTCTATCTGCTCAATAGATTGACTGAATTAAAAATTTTATATAACATAATATGAATACTTTTGAAATAGTTAAGGCTCAAAATACTCTAGTATTTTACATGCTCCAATTTCTCTATATTATTTGTATGCTATATACACTATAAATACTCTAAATACTACAAATTTGAATTATACTCTTAATACTCTATATGCTCTAAGATCTCTTATAGCTCTAATAACTATAGTAAGACTATATATGTAATAAATTGTGTACCCTATATATTTTATTTATTTCTGAAAAAATCTATATGGTCTACATAGATACTTTAAATGCTCTATATACCATAAATACTCAAAATACTAAATTTGGTATATACTTTTATTATTCTATTTGGTCTACTTTATTTTGTATTAGTTTAAATATACTTAACACCTTATATTTCTGAATTTTTTTAAATAATAGATATACTATAAATACACCAAATACTAAAAAAATACTGTAAGTATTCTAAATACTTTAAGCACTTTAAGCAATTTTACTCGAAATTACCTTTGTTTTCTAAATACTCTATATATTACACTCTAGTATTCTAGGGACTATAAATACTATGAATAGTCGAAATACTCTCAAAAATGTAAAAACCCCAAGCCCTAGATATATTCTAGATACTCTATATTCTAGATCTTCTATACACTTTTCCTACTCTATATGCTCAATACTCTCTGTACATTCAATATACAATGTATACCTAATGCTCCACGCATTCTACATATGAATCTACTCTATAGAATCTACTCCATAAAAGCTTTGCTGTCTTTTTCTCTTTCTATCTCTCTTTCTCTCTCTTTCCCTCTCACTCTCACTACTTTCTAAACTATCTGAGGCAATAATCATGCTCTAACAACTTTAATCACTTGCTCTATAATCTCCACATATCATCACTCAACTAATACAATTACAGGGTATTCTAGCATAAATATTTGTCGGCTTAAAGGCTAACCGCGAAATAATTTGCGCGTATTTTGGTCAAAACACGCGACCAAAAACCGCAGTGAAGAGCAGCAAGCAGCCGGCAGCAAGCAGCATGCAGCAAAAAGCAGCGCCGGGTAGTCAATAAAATGGCTTTAATTAATCGGAAGCGCAGCGTCAGCTGTTGCCGCAAAAATAAAAACAAAGGGCCAACAAATGGGCGGCAGACATTTGGGGCATTTGGATGCGGCGACGAATTGTGCGCATAAATTATGCAGCCAGCCATTTGGGCAGCGATTTTTGGGGCTGCGACTGTGACTGCGGCTGTGGGTGGGGCTGGGGCGTTGTGTGTGTGTGTGTGTGTGTAAACGGCTGGCTAGCCAGCAACAATATGTTGTAAACGTTTAATTTGAGCGCGTCTCTAATCGGTGTCCCGGCAACGGGCAACGGGCGACGGTCGATGGGCAGGGGGCGGTGAGGCGACGTGTGTGGCGGCCATGCAGTCAGGTCGCTTTACTGCTTGGTCGCTTGTAATTGCGTTCATTGAATTGTTAACTGGATTCGTTGTCTACGGCTAGCCGCTGGCAGCTGGCCACTGGCCGTTGGCCGTTGGCCGCAACCGCAACTTGCAGCGGGAAAACGGCTAAAAGCCGTTGTTATCCTTGTGGTTACTGCGGCTATCCTCTAACTCTATCTATGTGTGTGTGTGCAGGTGTAGCTGCGTGTGTGTGTGTTGGTGTCTCCCTCGAGTTGAGTTCGCTTTGCTCGCTGCTAAATCCCGGTCAATGCACATCAAACTTTTGGCTCGCTCTGCATTTGGCATTTATTGGTATTGTTCCAATTAAAGTTCGACTAGTCGCCTCCATAAAATATGCAGACACGTAAAAGTTCGATTCGATTTGGCTGCCACAGGACATTAATGCTTAACGGTCAATGGTTTTGACTGCAGCAAGTCCGAGCACTCTCATTCAGCGCACAGTGCGCCAATAAAAGCTAATAAAACTCAAAGAACAGCACTGCCAGCGTGGCCAGGCGGCCTCGACTGCAGTTGCTGGCTGGAGGTGAAATCAAATGGAAAGATATTCGCTTTCGGGGGCAAATAAGCTCGCCGACATAGGCTGCAGTTGCTGAAGCTTGCCAGAGTCGATGAGATTGACTTCTAGATTTTAGTGAGTCTACTTTATGGAACGGAAACTTTTGATTACTACCAGAGGAGTTTATAAGGAAGTTTTGTTAGCGATGGGCAAGAGAAAATTCTAGACATTGTATATC